AAAAAAAAAAACCTGAAATTGATGAGCATTTACTATTTTTGTCTAAATGGTGTTCATAATAGAAAATGTAATGATGACTTTGTTTATAAGTATTGTTTCTCTCTTTACAAAGCATCATCTCCTCTCTGAAATCCTAAAGAGTTGGAATTTTTTTTCTTTTTTTGGTGCAAGTTAGGAAAAATTATTAATTGCATAAAAGCTCGATTACAAACAAGCCTTGGGGGACACGTGTCCACCTTGAACCACTAACGCTTCTCTTTATCGTCTCAGGTGCTGCTACCCCCGTATGACGATGCCACGGTGAATGGCACTGCCAAGGAGCCGCCACCACCTTATGTGTCTGCCTGAGCCTGAACGCGGGGTGGAGCTGCGAGCAACAGCTGGACTTTCCAGACCCCCAAGCAATAGTCCTGTCACTGCACCACTTCTGAGATGAGCTCCCTCAGCTCGTTTGTTGCCGAAATGCTCCATTTTCCAATTTAGCTGTTAAGTCGGGCCCCTCTGTAGTTGTAAGCGTATGCTTTCTCTAGAACACTGTGATAGGTATCTATAGGATTCTTTCTGTAAGGGTGGGAGTATGGCAGACTTCACTAGTCTCCCCTAAGCATTGAAGTTTCCCCAAAATGTAAGGGACCTCGAGTCAGAGAATTTGATTTTGTATCTACTAGGCCACAAAGTTGGGCAGTTAGTTACACTGACCCTTCCCATTCTGTTTCTTTTGGAAGTGTAAAATAAAATAAAAACGAGACAGTGTTTTATGTCTACCATTCCAGTATGTAGAACAAAGCCCTTATGAAAATAGGATGTAATTGCATAATCATGACTAATTAGGTAAATAGGAACCCTAGTATATATATTATAAGAATTTCCTTTAAGTCCGTTATGACTCAGGGCTACCAGGTGGTATGGTGCTTTAGGTGCTAGACTCCCACATTGCTGACAGCAGTTCAAGTCCTGGACCTGGTAATGTGAAACTCACACTGGGCGTGGGCGTGTGTATGTACCCAGAATCCAAGGGGCGGGTGAAGAAGAAGGGATTGCATAGAAGCCATCCCTTCTAGAGAGGGGTGATTTCTCAATTTCCCTCTCACTGTCTCTCTCACGTGAATGCACACGCCCTATGACAGAAACCTTAAAAAACATAGCTAAATTAACGAAGGGGATTTTAAACAGTCCTTTATTGCTTAAATTCAATGCTCTCCCAGGGCCACTACCCAAGTGTTAGGGGCAGGAACCATCCGGTGATTGATTCTGTATATCCTGGGCCTGGGGTCCTGGGGTGGCGGTGGCACTGGGTGGGGTCTGGTGCTCCTTTTTTCCTGGTTTCCCTCCCCACCTAGGACCCCTTTCTACTTACACGTTTTGCCCTGGCCTGACTCCAGGAGGACATCTGACTTTCTTCATCAAGTGGAATTACTGCTAAGTATCTGCCTAATAAAATGAAAGAAGGGGTTTTCACTTCCTTTCCCTGCAGAGTACATCCTATTGCTTTGAACTTCCAAGTACCTCCAGTCATCTTTTCAAATGTGAAACACTCTTCAGAGAAAAGGAGGAGGGCTGCTTTCCTTGTGGGATGCTCTTACCTTGACTACCTGTGTTGCAAGGGATTTTTATAGATTCATATGTTCAGAAGTCAGCAGCCTAAGAAGTGGGCTTTGTGGCCTGTTTCACACATATGAGCCTTTAAATATTTCAGTGGTGAGAAAATCAGCGTATTAGGTCACGAGGAACTGGGGACAAATGAACCAAGCTTCCCACATTCCTGACCCCTGTCTGCCAAGCTCCATATGCTCAGCTGTTTTGCATAGGATTGCTTTATGTCCGTATTGCCCTTCTAGAAGCAGTTAAAATCACAGTATATTACAAAGAAGATTAAAAGAAGAGGAAGGGGGAGGGCAATAGGTGGTGTGGTGGTTAAGGCACTAGACTCCCACAATGCTGACCATGGCTCAAGTCCTGGACCTGGCACCTTGAAAATAATGCAGGGTGCATGTGCTTGCATTCCAAAAATCTTGAGAATAGAGGAGAAAGGATTGTGGCATGGCCATCCACCTTGGGGTCATTTCTTACTTTCCCTTTCTCTGTCTCTCCTGCCAGCATGTACCTTATGGCATGCCTATAAAAAAGGAAAAAAAGTTCTTTTTGTTTGTTTTTCTTAGATCCCTAAGAATCAGTATTTCCTTTGGTGTATCTCTTCAGTGTTCTTTATAAACTCAATCTGAGAGATTCTGTTCCTTGAAGCTTTATGCTCACAGTAATCACACGAACACATTAAGGGTTATTAGAACTGAAAAAGCCTGGGCCAGTCGGTGCGGTGGTTAAGGTGGCTAGAACCCCCACGGCTGACTGCATGGTTGAGTCCCAGACTTAGCAACCTGAAAACACTGCGCACATGTGACTGCCTAAAACCCTGAAGTGGAAAGTGGAAGGTACGGGATTGTAGTGTGACCATCCTCAATGGGGATGCTTTCTCGCTTCCCCTTTTGTCTGTCTCTCCATCGAGCACACATGCCTTACAGCAGATTGAAGAAAAGAAATGGAAAAGCCTATTGAACTTCATGATTGCTGTGAAAGGCACACAGAAATCGGTTACCAGTGTTTGCTGCTCCCCCACGGTTTTCTAGCTCTAATTATTGCATTGGAAAAAATGACACATAGTTAAATGGAGAGAAGTGCTGACCCTACGTAAGGTCCTTGGAGAAGATCTGATCATGTTATGCAGTGCTCAATTAGCACCAAGACAAGCGCTATAGACACTAGGAAATCTCTTCATTTTGAGGTTCATAAGGTGTTGGTGAAAAAATACATTTGAATGGTTTTGCTATAGGCTGCATGTGCTTGCCAAAGAGAAGGGAAGTGAGAAATCATCCCCAAGGGGGAATGGCCACACTGCCACACCACAATCCTTTCTCTATCCTTCCCAGGATTTTTGGCATGCATACACCTGCCCAGTATGATTTTTCAAGCCACCAGGTCTGGGACTTGAACCATGCAGTTGACCTTGTGGGATCCAGCACCTTAACCGACACACTACCTGCTGGCACACAAAAAAAAATTTTTCCTGATTTTTAGCACAACCCAGACTGAGCTTGCACACTGCTGCCGCATTTACCTCTGTAGAGAAAGAATTGTGACTCCCACAATGCTGACCATGGCTCAAGTCCTGGACCTGGCACCTTGAAAATAATGCAGGGTGCATGTGCTTGCATTCCAAAAATCTTGAGAATAGAGGAGAAAGGATTGTGGCATGGCCATCCACCTTGGGGTCATTTCTTACTTTCCCTTTCTCTGTCTCTCCTGCCAGCATGTACCTTATGGCATGCCTATAAAAAAGGAAAAAAAGTTCTTTTTGTTTGTTTTTCTTAGATCCCTAAGAATCAGTATTTCCTTTGGTGTATCTCTTCAGTGTTCTTTATAAACTCAATCTGAGAGATTCTGTTCCTTGAAGCTTTATGCTCACAGTAATCACACGAACACATTAAGGGTTATTAGAACTGAAAAAGCCTGGGCCAGTCGGTGCGGTGGTTAAGGTGGCTAGAACCCCCACGGCTGACTGCATGGTTGAGTCCCAGACTTAGCAACCTGAAAACACTGCGCACATGTGACTGCCTAAAACCCTGAAGTGGAAAGTGGAAGGTACGGGATTGTAGTGTGACCATCCTCAATGGGGATGCTTTCTCGCTTCCCCTTTTGTCTGTCTCTCCATCGAGCACACATGCCTTACAGCAGATTGAAGAAAAGAAATGGAAAAGCCTATTGAACTTCATGATTGCTGTGAAAGGCACACAGAAATCGGTTACCAGTGTTTGCTGCTCCCCCACGGTTTTCTAGCTCTAATTATTACATTGGAAAAAATGACACATAGTTAAATGGAGAGAAGTGCTGACCTTACGTAAGGTCCTTGGAGAAGATCTGATCATGTTATGCAGTGCTCAATTAGCACCAAGACAAGCGCTATAGACACTAGGAAATCTCTTCATTTTGAGGTTCATAAGGTGTTGGTGAAAAAATACATTTGAATGGTTTTGCTATAGGCTGCATGTGCTTGCCAAAGAGAAGGGAAGTGAGAAATCATCCCCAAGGGGGAATGGCCACACTGCCACACCACAATCCTTTCTCTATCCTTCCCAGGATTTTTGGCATGCATACACCTGCCCAGTATGATTTTTCAAGCCACCAGGTCTGGGACTTGAACCATGCAGTTGACCTTGTGGGATCCAGCACCTTAACCGACACACTACCTGCTGGCACACAAAAAAAAATTTTTCCTGATTTTTAGCACAACCCAGACTGAGCTTGCACACTGCTGCCGCATTTACCTCTGTAGAGAAAGAATTGTGTCCACTCGGGAGGTCGTGATGTTCGGATAACATGACCTTGTAGAGCACATTCCATGTCTCAGATGTTCACTAGTCCAGGTGAGGACCGCTCTCTCTGCACCTCGCACCCTCCCCCTTTAAGTTTATTTCATGAGTTGGACAGACGTACAATACCTCCAATAGGGTCCTGATGCCATGATCCACTCTCAGCCTCAGCCAACCCCAGATCAAGGGGACACAGGCCCAGTGTACTTAGGGAAGTCTACAGGTTAGAACCAGGAACTCTTCAGTGCTGTCAGCGTCTTAAAGCATCTCATTTTACCACTGTCCACTGGCCCTGCATTCCTCTCTAAGTCTATTTAAATCCCATTTTGATATGTAGCCCCCATTGTCTGTTTTGTTGTACACAGAGGAATGTCTTGGTCATTTTATTGATGGAAGCCCAGTGGCATTTTTCATCTTGACCCTCAAAGCCCTTATTTTATTATTTCTTTTAAACATTTTTGTTATAGGGTGCAGGGGAGATGAGAAATCACCCCCCAGGGAGAAGGCCACTCCACATTCTTTTCTCCTTCATTCTCCTATTGCAATTGTGGATATGCACACTCACCAGCATGAGTTTCAAGCCACAGATCCAAGACTCGAATCGTGGTCAGCCATATGGGCGTCCGCGCCTCACCACTTTGTCACCCATTGGACCCCTCAAGCCTTTATTTTTAAGATTCTAGTCATCGACTTTAAGGCCAAAGACATTGCACTGTGAGGTGTGCAAATGGACCCTGCTATAAGCAGCCTGTGTAGGAGAGTGAGTTAAGTCAGTTTGCTGGAGTACAAGGTGAAACCTACATCTTTTGGCTTAGATTGTGAGATTGTGGTCTTTCCACCCTGGAAACCACTTTGGTGAACAAGCTAGTCAGATTTTCAGATACCAGGTTTTACAGAGGAGCTTTAAGACCTTATATCTCTTACTGCCTGAACATTATTAATACGCAGTATCTCAGGACCAGCAGGTGCCATAGCAGTTATGACACTGGACTCCCTCATGGCCGACCACAGTTCAAGTCCTGGATCCGGTGGCTTGAAAATCACGCTGAGTACATGTGCGAGTATGCCTAAGATCCGAGAAGAGAATGGAGGAAAAGGGGTTGCAGTGTGGCCACCACCCTGGGGAATGGTGACTCACTTTCCCTCTCCCTTTTTGTCTCTTCCTCTCGAGTACCTGTGTCCTAAGGCAAAAACATCTTAAAATATATTATATATATATGCCCTGGAGTGTGATGTACTCCTTCCTCCCCTCCCTATTGTCACAAAGAGCGTGAGGAACTTTCCCTTGTTATCCGTTCTGTCCTCAACCTCTCCCCACTTCTTAAACTTTATTCCAGCCCTAAACTTTTGTTTAATTTGCCCACTTAACTGAAGCCCTATCTCATTTCATTTGT